CTCGCGTTTGGCTCTCATTTGCTCAATAATTTAGGGCAATTGCATACTTTTTTTTTCTTAATTGATTTTATTTCTTTTGAGAGAGAGAGAGCACACACAGGAGGGGCAGAGAGAAAGAGAGAATCCCAAGCAGGCTCCGCACTGTCCGTACAGAGGCTGACCCAGGGCTCAAACTCACGAACCGTGAGATTGTGACTTGAGCTGAAATCAAGGTTCAGACGCTTAACCGACTGAGCCACCCAGGCGCCCCTAATTGCATACTTTTTAATTTGGGTTGTTAGCAAATCTTTGTATCCATGTCGCAGCTTAACCTTTCAAGGCACTTCCGCATTCTCCCTCGTGCGTCAGTCGCAGTCACCCCAGTCACCCCGCACAGAGGGAGTTCTTACCCCCACATCACAGGCGGGGGGAGGCAGGTCAGAGGAGCACAGCTGAGCGGGAACTAGAACCCACAGCTCCTCCCACTGCACTTTGCTCTGTTCTAGGCCTTGGCTTTTGTTTCCAGGGACCCAGTCAGAAAACTGCACTGGCCCTGCTCCCGGTCACTGTGCGACACTGGATTGTTGGCCCTGGTGAAGAGAAGGTGCTCTCCCAGGCGGAAGTTCCCCTGTGGCTCTCATCTCTGTCACACAAAACCTGTGTGTGTGTGTAAGGGCCACTCAGCTCCCAGTCAACATCTACCCTCAAGGGCCAAGTTACTTATTTGTACCAACCCCTCTGGAAGAGTTTCCTTCCCCTCCACCCCCCTATCCAAAGCGCCCAGAAACATTGGCAGTTCTCAGCATTTCCACACCTTTTACTCACCGCCTCTGAGATGCAGTATGCCAAGGTCGAGCAGGGGAGGACTGGGAGGGACAGGATCACGGGTTACCGTTTCTGGCCACCACGGCTTCATTCCAGAAGAATACTGCACAAGTGGGCTCGGCTGATGGGAATAAGTTCATCACCCAGAAGGCCTGGGTCTCTCTCACAGGTGCTTAGCACCTGCTGAGCTGCCCCTCTCTGCTGGGTCCCGGGTCCTTTGGCAGGATGGAGAGGAAGGCTGGGTGGAGGAACCGATGGTCCTGTTGCTGCTCCTGGCAGAGGCGTTTGTGTCCATGGTCTACAAGTTCAAGCAGGTGGGCAGAGACGAGTGTCCCACGAGGCACGGGGCAGAGGGCCGACTCTAGGGAACAGACGTTAACGCAGCGTCTGCCTTCGCGCAGGGAAGCCTGGGTGACTCTGAGAAAGGGAAGGAAACACTCCGGAGCTTCGTAACTGACACCGCAGCGAGGACAGCTGGGAAGGCTCTGTCCCTGGTGATTGTGGACCAGGAGAAATGCTTCAGGTTTGAATTTGTCCTCAAGACAGCCTGAAAAGGGGCAGCTCTTGGGCCGTCGGGGTGCACTTACTCATCGCATATCTGGGTCCTCCCTGGCAAGCCCTGTGGGACCCTCTGGTCTGGTCTTTTCACCCCTTTCCTGCCTGAGCTCAGCCTGGAGCTGCTGCTCTTTGACCTCCCCCCCCCCCCGATTCCAGCGCTCCCCATCTTCCGAGAAGAAGGAAACGGGGAGTGGCAAACAGAGAACAGGCCAAGGAGAAGAAGCGGAGACAACCAGAGGCCAGCGCAGGGCAAATGGTGTCCAGGGTAGACGTGGAAGAGGTAAGAACTCGGTGTTGCCTGAGTCGGGCTGGGCTCTCACTCTCCCCTAACCCAGTTTGCTGTGGATAAGGAACAAAGTGCCTGCTGGACACGACTCTCTGCCTTGGCACCGAGTAGGAGAGAAGGGGCTAAAACAGGGAGCCATGGCGCTGGGGTGCAGCTTTGGCGGGTGTGAGAGGGCAACTTCGACGAGGCCGAGTCCCTCTGCCCTTCCAGCCTGTCGCGCTTTTCGGTGTTTAGGCATTGGTGGATCTGCAGCTATACACCGAAGCCCAGGCCCGAATCGTGCAGAGCTGGAAAGAGCTGGCCGACTTCACCTGCGCATTTACAAAGGCTGTGGCCGAGGCGCCCTTCAAGTGAGTGCCCCCAGCAAGTCTCCGCCCCACCGCCAGGCCTGGTTCTGTGCGGATGTCCTCTTCCCCCGGGGTCTGCTGCCGGCTCATTGTCGGTCAAGCTGGCGGTGGAAGGAGCAGACCTCATGCTGGGGATTCTCATGAGGAGCCCTCAAGCCTAGCGCCTGTGAAATGTTCTGCTTTAGCTCATGTTCGTGGAAGTTCGTGGCCTGCAGGCTGCCCTGGGTCACCAGTAAGCCAAGTTGCCAGGTTTCATTACATGGCAGGTCACAGTGTAATAAGCCCTCATGAAACAAACTTTTAGCCTACTTAGTTCTAGGAATGTTCGTGGTCGGAATTTAGAGTTAGTAAAAGACCTCAGAGACCATTCAGGCCAAGTCCCTCCTCATTCTATACCTGAGGGAACTGAGGCCTTAAGATTGAGTGCCTTGTCTAAGCTCCTAGCAAGTTAGAACTGGACCAGGTTCCCCAATTGCCTGACACCCGGTCCCTTGTGTCTGTCTGTCCTTGTGCACACTGCTCTCTGGTCAACACAACCCAATTTCAGCATGTGAAACACTCTGGTACTTTCTTGGTGCTTTCTCTCTTAATGGAAAGGACTAGGTGGTGTTTTTAAGGGAACCAGCAACTAGCGGTGTTTGGGAACAAAGCACTCAAATAGGCCAGATACAACACTGTGCCTGCCTCTTGGGAGGTCAGTGGAGGGTGGGAGGGTTTTTAAGTTCCCAGCCGAGGAGACAGGTGGAGTGACTGACTCATGACTCTTCAACTGCTATTCACAGGAAGCTTCGAGATCAAACCAGTTTCTCTTTCTGCCTGGAGAGTGACTGGGAGGGAGGGGCAAAGGTTGACCGAGCTGGCAGGGGGCTCGCGCTGGTCTGGAGGAGACAGATTCAGCAGCTGAACAGAGTCAGCCTGGACATGGCCAGTGCCATTGTGGACACCTATCCCTCCCCGCAGCGTCTGGTCCAGGTATGCTGCTGCAGGGGTCACCCCCCCACCTGGCACCCCATGGCCTCGGTGGACTCCCAGGCGGCTTCCTTGGGGCACACCGGTGGTCCACAGTGTGGGCCTGCAAAAAGCAGTTAACACTGACCCGGGGAGGACAGGTTCTCCTCCCCAACACCCTAGCTTACTGCCCCCTTATGGATGCACAAGGGTGACTGGATGGTACAGTATTGAGCGGTCATTTGCCACTTGCAGGCTTACAGGCGGTGTTTTTCGGAGCAAGAGCGCCAGAATTTGCTTGCGGACATACAGGTTCGCCGTGGGGAAGGTGTGACCTCCACCTCCCGCCGTGTTGGACCAGAGCTCTCCAGGCGGATCTACCTTCAGATGACCACTCTGCAGCCAGCTCTCTCTTTAGACAGTGCAGACTGACGCCAGCCCTCGGGGACAAGGATGACAAACGAGGTTTGCATCTCCTCCGCCTTTGGCCACAGGAAGAGACTGGACGCGCCTCCTTGAAGCACAAGCCTGGGTCGGACCACAGGCTGTTCCCTGGGCGCCCTTATCTGTAGAAGTCTCCCTGTCAGCTTGGGACAGATGGCTGAGATACTTGTGTTTACCTTCACAAGCCTTTAATTTTCCTCTCCTAGCAAAAACCCAGCTGCCGTGCACAAATCACCCCTCCCCCCTCCCCCAGCCAGCCCTCAACCCTCAAAACACAAAGAAACAAAGACAGACCACTCAGACACATATTTAATAATTGTAGAAATCCAGAAGAACCTCAGCATCAAATCTCGAGATCATGAGTGAACTTCCCTCAGCGGGTTGACTTGACTAGGGCCAGGTGTGCCCTGCCTTCCTATACCCACTGAAGCCGCCTCAACCAGCCCCTGCGTGGGGACTTCCATATCCTCTTAATCTCGTCACGTACTGTTTAGTTTCAATAAAGCATTTGTACCAATGGCTCTGGAGCTTGGAGGAAGACTAAGGAATGTGTAGTGATACTGAGTAAGGTATGGGCTTTTGCAGCAGAGCTATCTGGGGAGGGAGAAAGGAACAAGTCACTTCTTCCAATAGGACGGTCATAAGTGGCCATCCTATCCAAATGAGCCACTAGGGCTAAAAACCCCGGACCTCACTGTCTCTGAACCATGACAGGTTCTTGTTCCCCTGAGGGAGAGACAAGAAGCTCGTAACTGGGACCTTTCAGTGAATGAGCACCATTATGGCGATTTCTTTTCCCTTCATCCGGCTTTTGTGAAAAAGAGAGGCCAAGGAGGCCACAGAGCAAGCAGAGGCATAATCTGGGAGACAAGAGGATGGACAGTCCTGCCCGTCTGTGCTGGTCATTAGGAAGTGCGCCACTTTTAAACTCCGTGGTGCCACTCGCTTCCCTTCATTGCAGAGGTGGTTCTAGGTCTAGACCCAAACAATTCTAGACGTCCATCTCCATGAAACTTTGGAGTTTTCAGGTTGACTTTGACTGACTTTGTCGCACCAACTACCAACAGCTGCCCGAGACAATATGGCTTTGCAATGGTCCACCTCGTTGTTTACTGGCAATCAGGGAGTTAATGCTCTAAAATTGAGGCAAGGAGCCTGGGCCGTCCCCATTTTGCGAAAGCCACATGAGCCGGGGGCAGGGCTCTACAGGAGCTGCCAGGACCCTCATGGCTATGAGATTTCTATTTGTGGGACATGAAGCCTGCCTACCGTCAAAGATTTTACACCCCAGCTGAGAGACACTCAGTTCTGGTGTGACTTCTGTTCTCTCCTGACATTATTATGGAAGCAAAATGACAGAGAGAGAGGATACTGGAGCAGGAGTTCAGTTCTGCCTCAACTAGCTGGGAGACCATAGGCAAGTCACAGAAGGCCTCAGTTTCCCTGTCTGCAAGTGTTCTATTGGACTGGGTGGTCCTGAAGTCCCTTTCACAGCCTGAGGTTTTATATGGTCATTAAAAATGTCTGAGGTCCTTAAGAAAATAGGTATCCCCCCCCCCTCCCAATTTAGGCTAGATTTGCCGAGTATGGTGTTCCCGTAGTCCCCAATCACACTGCCTCCTGATCTGCCCTGGCTGCCCAGGGAGGAATGAAAGAAAGGGTTTGTGACATACAAAAGTATAAATGTAGTGACAGCTGACCTGACCGTTTAGTAGAAACGAGCCTTGCCTTTACACAGCTTTGTAGAACAACTAGAAAAGGCCGTTTTTCCCTCTCCCCACCCCAAGCCTATTCCTTTAGGCATGCAGGTAACTCTCCCCACGTCTCACTTCTTATTCCGCCAGGGGACCCTGACCAAGGAACGGAGAAGTCCTACAAAGAGGGGATCTCAAGTACCAATCGACAGCCATTTGATGATGGCAGGTAGGTCGGACGCTAAAAAGAGGTTGTGTCCAGCAGAACCCAATTCCATAGGAATCCAAGCTCCAAGGCTGGGAGGCAGCAGGTGTGGAGGACAGGCTCACTGCTGAGAATCGGCCTGCAGCACCCACTGCAGGATGTCGTGGCTGCGCAGACCCCGGACCGCGTTGTCGTAGATGGTGTTCACGCTGGTGCACAGGGGCTGCCGCTGCAGCTCTGTCACCCGACAGGCGACCAGCCCGCCGGCCACACACAGCAGCAGCAGCAGCAGCAGCTTCAGCACGGCCCAGGACCTGGTGTGTTTCCGGGGGGGCGGCTTTCGGGGGCGAGAGCCGGACTTCGATTCTGGAGGGACAGAGTCACAGCGGACAAGAACTTTCAGTCAGTGGGAGACGACCCACACTCTACCCATTGAGGCAGATCCGCCAGAACCCCCTCCTCAAAGGCAAACTCCCAGGCCCTGACAAGAGGACTTTTTAAGGCCATCTGAGTTCTTGAAACCCTCTGCTTATGCAGAGCCTGAAACAGAAGTCCTCCTCCAGTGGATCTCAAGAGGGCACACTCAGAACGAGGAGTCATTCCGGGCGCCTCACGGAGCTCAGTCCCCAGGGTCCCTCGGGATCAGGGGAGGGGCTTTTCAGGGGGCAACAAGCACAGTTAGAATGCTGCTTCAATGCTAGAGTGAGTATATATATTACATTTCTAATTTTTTTAAAAAATTGGTTTTATGGGGTGCTTGAGGAGCTCAGTCGGGTGAGTGTCTGACTTCGGCTCAGGTCACGATCTCATGGTTTTTGAGTTCAAGCCCCGCACCGGGCTCTGTGCTGACAGCTCGGAGCCTGGAGCCTGCTTCGGATTCTGTGTCTTGCTGTCTCTCTGCCCCTCCCCCATTCATGCTCTGTCTCTGTTTCTCTCAAAAATAAACATTTTAAAAAATAATAAAATGTTTGAAACGCTTTCAAAAAATAAATACAATAAAATAAAAACCGGTTTTGAGATTAAAAAAAAATTTTTTTAATGTTTATCTTTGAAAAAGAGAGACAACGTGCACACGCGTGGGGGAGGGGCAGGGAGAGAGACAGAATCAGAAGCAGGCTCCAGGCTCTGAGCTGTCAGCACAGAGCCCGGTGCGGCGCTTGAACTCACGAGGTGAGACTGTGACCTGAGCCGAAGTCGGCCACTTAATCGACTGAGCCACTCAGGCGCCCCTGGTTTTGAGATTTTTAGCCAAAACTTTTAAAAACTTGACTGAGCACCCACATGCCAAGAACTAACTGCATGATCCTGTCACATAGGTTTTCTTGCTTAATGCTGTCGCTACCCTGTGAGGAGGTGGAATCCTCATTTTACACAAGGAAACAGAACGGTGGCCAGGCAACCTGCTCCAGGCCAGCGAGGGAGAGCCGCGGCCGGGCCCCACGCCTTCACCCTCCCTACAGAATTCCTTCCCCGGCTCAGGGGCCTCTCCCTCACGGGCCCCATTGGCCCAGAAGGTGTACAATCCTCCCCTACATGTGGAGCAATGTCCCTACACAAATCCAACTGGACGTATTCAGGCAAAACACTGTGTTTTTTATACAGCATGGCCCCTGAAGGCAGCACAACGATTCCTCTCGTGTTCAAGCAAAAAGAGGGCGCTCTGTTCCGACTTGGAGAGAAAACCAGAGGTAGTGCTGGCATCTCTGAGACGGTACCGTGCACTCAGAATGCCCTAGTGCACTTCACAGATGATGCGAGGGACTTTTAAGGGCAATGTGACCACATGCAATCTTCGCTTTATGGTGATTTTGCCATCCAACCCTTCTAAGAAAGAAGGGCAGCTCCCTATTCTGGGAACGCTCTAAGCCATGTCTCACCAAACACCTGCACGTAAGCACCTGCTCCCCAGGACAGCCCCGCCCCCCCGTAGGCAAACCCTCCACGCGACTCCCAGGACTGAGAGCATGCTGGATCTGACCAGGTCTGCAGCCTCGCTCACTGCCCCCTCAGTGCCCCCACGGCACCCCCGCCGGAACCCTGCAACTGCGAAAACATACTCGGAGCCTGGTTTGCTTCCTTCTTCGGCTTCTTCTCCTGCTCCCGCTTGGCTGCTTTGAGGGCGTCGTACTCCTTTCTCCGGCGCTCCTTCTCTTCTGCCTTCTCCCGCTTCCGCAGCTCCCGCTCCTGCGCCTCCTTAGCTCGCTGCTTGGCCTCCCGCTTCTTCTCGGCCTCTGCAGGAAAATCCACCCCAAGATGACTTCTCACCCACAAACCTGCAAGAGTGCTTTCCTGAGTGACTAAAAGCACGGGCTTGGCCTTTCCCTTATGCCACAGGTCACTGAAGCAGTCTTAAGGAGGCAGCTATCTTCCTGCTCTCCAGGAAGTAAGCCCTCCCTCAAATACGGTAAACTGCTCTCAGGGTTTGCTGGATGGATTATTGAAAGGTTCCCAGCCCCGTGCAGTGGAGAGATTAGGGTAATGTAACAAGGGTACATGAGGCAGGCATGGGTGACGAGCCTGGTGATGAGAAAGCACAGAGGGACACCCTTATTATACAACTTGGCTGTCAAGAGAAGAAACCGTGATTCTATGGGATTCCTGTCTTCCCAAGCTTCAGAAGGGAACGTAGCATGGGAAGGGCAAGTAAGAAGACAAAGTGAGCACTCAAGTTCACAGTTAGACACGATGGAAATGTTTTCCTGAGAAAGCAAGACTAATCATTTGTCAGAGGGAACCTCTAGGCTCCCACTCAGGAATCTGTGACACATTCTGATTTACTTCACGGTTCAAGTACGTTTACATCCAATGCCCAGCTTACAAATTACTGGGTTCTAAAAATGCACTTCCAGATTAGTTATTTGGAAGCCTGAAGTACATTTTTCCAAAGCCAGAATGCCACAAATTAGGGAGTTAAATGTCTTTCTGGGCTTAAAAGCCCATCTGACCCATAATGTAGCTGAATTGTAGTATGCGAAGTACTGGAGCTTTCCACTGCTTTTCTGTGTACAAACAAGCTCCAAGTTCCAGCTGGGCAACGACAATGCCAAGAGCACATTCTACCCCACCCGGAGAGAACATGTGGAGGCAGGAAGTCAAGCAGCAGTGGTCCAAGGAAATACAGCATCACAGCAGCCACGCATGTGAGAAGGCCCGGTGTCACTCAGGCTCTTTCAGGGTCTGCCCATGACCAGTACTAAGCACGTCCTCCCCCCCTCCAACCACGGAATCCTCCAGTAAGGGGGCTCAGACATCTGCCAGTCAACAGAGCGCCCGCTGTGCGCCAAGCCTTGTTCTGAGTGCTTGAGATACAGCAGTGAAGACAAATCGGGTTCCAGCACCTAAGACCTTCTAGAGACGGAGACAAACGAATGAACAAACAGAAAAAAGACAACAACATGCGCCACAAAGAGAGTAACAGAGACTGTGATGGAGTGACGGGAGGGATGCTACCCACGTCTGGGTGGTTCGGAAGGGGTTACGGTAAAGCTACAGCAACATCTGAGCAGACAAGAAGGACATGAACCCAGCCACGTAAAGACCCGAAGAAGAAACCAGGCACAGCCCCTTCAGTAAGACCGGACTTAGCGTGTTCGAGCAACAGCAGAAGCTCGTGTGGCTGAAGTTAACAGCGTTCTCTCCCCTGGGTGCGGGACACAGCTGGAGAAGCAAGCAGGCCTGGGGCCATGGCGGGCCCGGTCGTCTGTGGAGCTAAGTTTGAATTTCATCCTAAATTCAATCAGGAGCCATTAGAGTGTCTTAAGCAAATAGCAGCATCACCGACTTATGTTGTAAAGGGATCCCTGTGGCTGTCGTGCGGAAGGGGCACCAGCGTGGAGACAGGCCACAGAGCTGGGAGGGGTCTACAGCGCGGAGGCTGAATTACAGTACGGCCCGGGGGTGGAGGAACCATCACACACGGGCCTTGCTGACACACTGGATACTGGGGAACTGAAGACAGACGTCCGGACATCTTTCCAGTTTCAGGCTTGAATAACTACAGGGATGGTGACAGTCTAGTCCAGGGGACCCCCGGGAGGGCTCGCAGGGGACTGACCGTCTCGGCCACACTTAAGTTGAGCTGCCTCTTAACCCTCCCAGCCGGCTGCCGGACTCTGGAGCTCAGCGGAGAAGCCAGGACTAGACACAGATGACACCATACACCACCATACTCCTCCTCACGATGCTTCCACGGACCCCGGCTCCTGACCCGTGGGAGCCAGCGGCCGGGCGAGGACGGGAAGATGGCTGGCGGAGGGACGGCACCTACCTCGTTCTACTTCCAGCCGCCGCTGCCTCTCTCGCTCCTGGTCAGCCTGCACGGCCTTCATGTGCTGTAACACCTGCAAAGGGGGAGCGGAGATCTGAACTAGCCCAAGCCGGGGGCTCCACGGCACACACGTCTGCTCAGGAGGCTCAAAAGCACGACGGCTCCTTTTAGGTGAGCACAGCCCCGCGGCAGCGCGGAGCTAACGGAGGCCATCCTGTGTTTGTCTCCTACCTTACTACGCCAGCCTTAGCTGGAGAAGGGCCAGCTGAGCCCAGGCCACTAAAGTTGTGAGCAAACACGTTTGTGAAACCCACTGCCAACTGGAGCGTGGAAGGAGTCCTGCTCTTTACAGTCCCTGTCACACGCACGATCTCACGTGTGCCCCAGGCAACTCTTGGTGGTGGGCAGGACGGCACTTCCGCCGAGACCTTCTGACTTCCTGACCTCCCTCCCTGGGCCACCTTACAAAGTTCCGCTCTTCCCAGTCCTCGGGAGGCCTCTTACCTACGTCAGTTGTAACGCTAGTTTCCCTAAGGGTGGCGACTACCATCCCATCTGCGGGCTAGACACTCAGTATGTGTTTGATGGATGACTGACTGGATCCCCACCTCAAAAGGAAGAAAGCCAAGGCTGACGGGGGGTGATCTGTCCGCCTCGCGTGGCTGGAAGGTAGCACAGCTCAGAGGACTGGTCTTCTGAGCTCCTGGGCCAGAGCTTGTCCCACTCAAGTCAGCACACAAACTAAGGAAGCCTCTAGCAGGAAGCCAAGAGCCATTTGGCCCACACACCGCTCAAAGCCGTGGCTCCCAGAGCCCCTCAAATCCTCGTCCAGTCAGTCGTGGACAGCCCCTGACAAAAACAGCCCCAGAGATTCTCACTACGGGCATGGTTAGGGGAGGAGGTAAAAGACTTTATTTTTTCAGGCTGTGTTTTTAGAAGCTATCCCTTGTCTGTAGAGGACAGAGTGAAAGCTTAGAGCCCGGCACAATCCTAACGCTACCACTTACGGACCCTGTGACCTTAGCAAGTGACTCAACCTCTCAGGCTCCCTGCAAGAGCCTGCTTTGAAGCCACAAGGAACCCTGTCCTGAGCAACCCAGGCCTTGAACCTGCCGCAACCTCTCAGAAGGGAGTCAGTCTTACTAAAAAAAAATGGCCACTCAACAAGGAGTGCAGGATCTGCAGGAAGGTCAAGCCTGATGGTGAGAGGCAGCCCAAGTTCAAAGTCCCTGTCTCACTCCGAATTCCGAATACTAAGTAAGCACCAACCATTCAGGCAGTTTTAAGGGGTGTACAGGTGGCTAAATAAAGAGCTGAGAGGTTTAAGAGACCTCCCTTTCTCCCCGGGCCCTAATACATCAGGAGTTAGCTGAAAACAGCCAGTTCAGAAAAAGGAGCGACTCCTCTGGTGCAGACCGTGAGCCCCGAGGGTGGATTTTGTCCACCGGTCCCAGTCCACGTTTTCTGATAAGCACTTGATGAATGCTTTCCAGCTAACAAATTATTTTTAAAAGGTGCTGTACTACGCCCCAGGCTTATCAGTGACTACAGCTGACCCATGCAGCCACAAGGTCAGGGCTGGTGAGATCTACGCTATCTCCCGGGGACAACTGACCTCGTTCTGGCCGGCCCAAGCCACGCTACTACAACGCCTAAAGGTGTGCCAGAGACCGCTCTGGGCAGCAGTGCCAGGGAGCGTGGCTCTAGTTACCATAGTCACGATGCAGTGTGCTACCTGGAGCTATGTCTGGAAGGTAGGTGCTAACACTAAAGACCTCTGTGCTCAACAGAAGTTATCCTCGTGGAGTATCAGCAATTTCATGAGGTTTCACATATTACTAGTTGAATGAATAAAGGGAGAAATGAAACGTGTGCGTACTGGGCATGTCTCGGGTCAGAGAAACGGAAGTCGTATCTACTTCCCGGGGTTATGAGGAGCATGAGGTGAAATACAAAGCATGCAGGACGAAGGGAGAGTCATCCCTTACAGCTATTGTTCTTCCTCAGAACGCACATCACTCCTAAAGCGCCAGGAGTTCCCCGATCACTTGTACTGTTCTCAGCTAAGGGCAAGCTGTTGCCGTGGCTACCTGGCTGCACTGACCTTGTACTTGGATCTCCTGTGCCAGTGGATGACAGAGATGATGAGACTCTCTCAGAAGCCCTGAGCTAATGACAAGACAAGGCCATTATTCTTGAGCCTCACCTAGAGACCCGCGCCCCCCCCACCTCGTGCCCACATCTCACTGACATCAATTCTAGGATTTAAATCTAAAGCGTTTAAAGTCTATTCTGTTCATCAAGCCTCCTCAACATGGCCAAGTAAGTCATCTGGTGCTCAGCTGAAGCAGCAGCAATCTGTTCTAAAGCTGGAGGGAAGAGGGACTGTGGCTGGAGTGTGAGAGATGCGTGGTGTCGTTCTTAAGAAGCAGCACAAGGCCCCCTCAGGGTTGCTGGCTGTGTCTGCTTCCGTGCCGCATTTGGTTCCTCGCTCCTCTATCAGATGACTTGACTGAAATCAATCAGATCCGCCCAGGACGTGTCTGCCTATCGGTACAGCACCCAAATGTTGACACCGTTATCAAAATTCCTATAACCGCCGTGACTTAGAAAGGCCACAGCCCCTACCCTTCTTGTCCCATTTGAACAACTGTCAATAGTGTAATGTGGGATCAGGCAAGGTCCTGGTTTCTTAAATGTTTATTTATTTTGAGAGAGACAGAGAGAGAGAGAGAGAGAGAGAGAGAGAGAAAGAGAATGCACAAGAGAGCAAGTGCGTGAGCGAGTGGGGGAGGAGCAGAGAGGGATTGAGAGAATCCCAAGCAGGCGCTGCGCTGACACATGGGGCTCGATCTCACAAACCAAGAAATCATAACCTGAGCCAAAATCAAGAGCCGGATGCTTAACTGACTGAGCCACCCAGGCGACCCAAGGTCCTGGTTTCTTAAGAATGGAAGTTTTGCAGTAGAGAAGACAGTCTTGTTCTGCTACTTGTAAAGTCAACATAGAAACAAAGGTCCCTCTGCCTGACAGGCTCATAGCAGATGTATTTCACTGGGACCTTAGTGCTCGAATCAACACACAGCTACAGGTGCCCTGGGAGGGAAAAACAAGAGGAGGCAGAGGCTAGTCCCCGGGGAATGGCAGAGGCGACCCGGGGGAGCTTCGTGCTTACCTTGTTGGCACACTGCTTACACTGCTTCTCATCCAAGCAATCCCCTGCCACTTTGGCCAGGACAGGATCCAGGGGGTTATCCTTCAGGTCCAGCCACTTCAGGCTCTGAAGGGATAGAACAGAGAGGCTGGCTAAGCCCAAGTTCACAAGAGAGTCCCTCAAGGTGAGCAAAATGAGCAGGAAGAAAGCCCCTGTGTGTTCCAGCTGCAGGGAAAGCCGTGCGAGGCAGCACCAACAAGGTGGCATTTCCGCCAGCCTTCCTCACAGCCATGCTCCATCGGCCCCCGAGCCCCGTGCCTCACCCGACCGTGGAACGCTGCTTCGTGAACCGTTACCTTGAGCTGAGCAAAGCTGACGGGCAGGGTCACCAGCTTGTTGTTGAGGAGATCCAGGTGCTGGAGGTTGACCAGACGGCCAAAGTCTGCCGGCAGCTGCTGCAGTCTGTTCTTACTCAGGTCCAGCTTCACCAGGTGTGTGAGGCCACAGAAATCCGACTAGGACCCAAAAAGACAGCGCCTAAGCCTCGGGCGCACACTCTGGTGTAGCCACTGCAGAAGCCCAAGAGCCAGAGGCACCGACGTGTAAACCCTGACCCTACCTGCCACCGGCTGTTCCACCCTGGATGAAGTGCGGCTAACACTCAGCCCCTCTGGTGCCAAGCAGTGAGAAGTACGTGGAAAAGGACGTAGCACAAAGTGGGCACGAAATAAGTGTGTTCCCTCATGCTCTGTTCTCGCTGCGACTGGAGCCATGAGGGGGGTCCCTCCTGTGCCCCCACAGCACCCTGTGTTCTCCTTTCACAGGAGCTGTCGAAACACAACGGAACCATCCGCCTTCCTGGAAAGATGATGCGCCCCTTAAGCGCTCAGTGTCACTCTTTGTTCTTCACGGCACCTAGCACAGTACCCACCTGAAATCAAGCTCCGGCCTCGGCTAAGAAACACTACTCATGCTCTCCGGGGACCTGAAACCGCCAGTGATTCTGCACTGCCGAGGAAGGCACAAACAACTGAGTTCAGACCGAAAAGAGCACCAGGGGCTGCTTGAGTGACTCCCGACAAAGTGTGCAGCAGCATCAGGCTACATGGAACAGCCACCATCCTGTCATTAGACATGGAATACTTCCTAGGGGCAGCGGGACCTCAGCTGCTTTTTCAGTGTGAAAAAACGGTTCCTGATGAGCCGCAGGAAGACGCTGCAGATAATGAGCGAGGCCCGGGAGAATACTGAAGAGGGGAACAGACTAATGATCCAATGAATAACCTGCCAACTTCTGAGACTCGGTCCCTGAGCCGGAGCCCAGTGGGGTATGTCAGGGAGTGACACGGCCAGAGTGATGGATGGAAAAGGCAACGAGGAAGGAGCACTGCTCTGGAGGAGAATGGCTATCACTCCGGAGAGGCTGAAGGGCTGAACCACTCCAGGGCCTAGACGGGTATAAAGGATGGCGAACTGAAGAAATCTCGAAGCATATGAAAGAGGAGAACTGGGAGAAGTTGTGCAAGAAAAATCAAAAGGATCTGACCACAGACTGGCTGTGTTGAACAAAAAAAGTGTCTCGAGTAATTCAAGGGCTGGGAGAATAATAATATGGTAGTCCCCCAAAACCACACTTTTTTCCTGTTCCCCATCAAAAGGAGGCTGTTCATAAACAGCTTTCTCCCTGCGCTGCACAGCAACTTCCGGAATGGCTTCTAATCTCCTCTACCCAATAGAGAGGTAAACTGTTCTTCAAAGGAATAAAATAAGGCAGAAAAAAAGATGAGCCCAATAAGTGATTCAGCCAGCACTCCGCTGCCTTTAGTGTTTCGTGGCCCGACTTTCCCACTGTTCTGAAGAATGAAGCCTTGCTTCCCTTCTTGCTGAGACAATCCACCCCACCTCACCCACCCCCCAGCATGCTCTGATTCAGTCACAGCCTGTCTGCAGGGCCTGTCCTGAAATTGCGCCTTATGACCTAACTGCTCTAAACAAGAAGGAGAGGGGTGCCTGGGTGGCTCAGTCAGTTGAGCATCTGACCGACTCAGGTGCGATCTCCTTTCACTGATTCGGGGTTCAGGCCACCATCAGGCTCTGTGCTGACAGTTGGAGCATCGCCAGAGCCTGGAGCCTGGCTGTATAGGTTCTGTGTCTCCTCTCCCTCCCCCTTCCCCCACTTGCACTGTCTGTCTCTCCCTCTGCTCTCCTCAGATAAATAAACATTAAAGAAATGGAAAAAAAAAAAAAAAACAAACAAGAAGGAGAAGCAGCATCAGGCTCTAGAAGGAACTGTGCTTGCCTTGTATCTTACCGTGGGACGACTGCTGAGTCTTAAGCAGGACAGATCCAGTATGGTGGCCTTTGGGAGGGCAACCTAGGAAAAGGAACAAGAACAAAATGTCAGACCAGCACATGGAATGATTCAGTGACTGCTGGCCTAACTGAGGGTAATTTCCAGAAAATTCCCACAAGTAGGAAAGCCTTAAAAAATCACGAGGGCAGGTCCTGGTGGCACAGTGCTCGGTTAAGCGTCCGACTTCGCAGGTCACTCTCGCTGTCACAGCCGAGTGCTGAGTCCCCCGCGTGGCGCTCTGGCTGATGGCTCAGAGCCTGGAGCCTGTTTCCTCATTCTGTGTCTCCCTCTCTCTGCCCCTCCCCCGTTCATGCTCTGTCTCTCTCTGTCCCAAAAATAAATAAACGTTGAAAAAAAAAAAAAATCGGCACTGAAATATAACGTAGTAAGAGCAGCGTGCATCAGCACTTGCTACCTGGCGAGTATTTTACATTACAGTCTTAATCCTCATAACCCTAGAAGATGGGACTATTATCACCATTTGATAAATGAGAAGGTCTAGGCATAAAGATTAACTAGCTTGCCAAGGGCACTCAAGAGATTAAGCAATGAAACTGGAAATCTGTTCTAACTTCCGCACTACAGAGCCAAGTGCAATTCGTTAAAGGCAGTGGGGAAAACGTAGGTCATCCCAAGTAATGCTAGGGTGGGGGGTGCAGGTAGGAAACCCGGCAGGAAAAGCGGGGACTAAGATCTAACTCTACCCTGGCAACAATCCAGCCGTGTAACCTTCTGGGACCTCGGGCCTCAGTTTCCTGAGTGGGAGCCTGGGAGGAGCGGGGTGGTGGGGTGGGCGGCAGCGCCCGGATTCCAGCCAGTTTAAGCTGGAATTTGGGAAGAGCCCTCGCCGGCCCCGCAGTGACACTTCGCAGAATTCAAGGAAGGACGCCTCAGGGCTGGGACAGCCGGCTGGGATGGCCGGCTTCCTAGAAATAAATGCACGGTTCTGGGCCACACCCAGGTCTACCCAGAGGCCTACTTCTCGGCCGAGTCATTCATTCATTTGTTCATTCATTCTCCCAATGCAGCCAGCAACCACACCGTGGGCGCCTACTTTGAGTCAAGCACGGAGCTGAGCGCTGCGAAAGCCCCCAGACGAGGGGAGATTCACTCCCGACCCGTAAAAAGCTCAGGGCCGAACAAGCAGCTCCTTCTCATCTTCTGGAACTGCGCCAAAGTGACACGTGTACATCCAAGGAAGAAAACTGGGGGCAGAGGTGGACGCCCGAGGACCGAGTCCCAATCCTCCCACCTGGTTTTAAGACCTGGAAACTGAGGCGTGGGAAAGGAGGCGACCCGCGCAGGGGCCAGCGCCGGTCTCGGGTGGGCACCTGTGCCCCGCGGGACTGTACTGACCAGCTCCTTGATGGGGACCTCATTCAGGTCGCTGAGGCTCAGGTCCAGCTCGTTGCCGTCCAGCTTGTCGCGGAGGTTCCCGCCCTTGCTACCGGCCTTGGTCATGGTGACGCCGGCTGAGCGGTGCCGGCTCCGGGGCTCGGACGGGCAGGAGAGGCGCCGAGAAGCCGCTCGTCGGTTCAGCGGACTCGCACCCAACCGACAACGCCTGCGTCCGCCGCCGCCGCAGGTGCGAAACGCCGCCGTCCGCCCGACCGCCCGCTGCACTCTGAGCCCCGCGCCCCGCTCCCACCGGTGCCGCCGCGACGACGACCACTTCCGTGTCCACGTCACCTTCCGCGGCCACTGAGACGGGCGGGGCCAGAGCGGCCCGAGTGTGCGCGAGACCGCCCTCTGGCGCTTAGGAGAGCGCACTGCAGTCGCCTCCACGTCCGGAAGGGTGGGGTTCAAAGCCTTGAGTTCGCTGCCGGGGGAAGCCGCCGCTTCCCCCCCCCACCCCCCACCCCCCATCCCGGGGCCCTTGGTAGGCCACTGTCGCTGGCAACGCCAGGAGGCGAAAGGGCACGGGCCTGGGTGCCAGAAGACCTGGGTTGCATCCCAAACTGACCTCACCAAGTCACCCCCGTTCCCCTGGATTAGGAGCTGAAACCTCATGTCCTTCAAAATTGCTCCCTGCCCTCTTTAACTTAATCCCCAAATCATTAACACTGGGAAAATTCGAGCCTCGGAATCTCTCTTCTCTCCTCTTCCCTGCCCCAGTCCTTGTCTAGGCCGCCGTTAGCTCGTGCCTGGATTTCTCTTGAGTCTCTCTCCCCTCCACCGCTACCCAGCTGCCCAGATCTTGCTAAAAATCTAGCCAAGTCTTTCCTCTGCCTAAAACCCTTCCAACCTTGGCTACCTCTAGGATATGGACCCTCTCTTTTCTAGACCGGTCCTTGCCCGCTTCTGCAGTCTCCTCGCAAACCCCAGTCCCTTCCTGCCCGGGGTGCTGTGTAGACTGCCATTAGGCTGCCTCCACACCTTTCCCTCTCCTGGGATGGCCTTGCTTCCCAACGCACCTCTGCCTGGCTAATTTCTAGACCTCCGGGAAACCTCCCTGTCCACCATGAACCGCAGACTGAGTTAGGGGTCCCTCCTTGGGACTCTGGCAATGTCCTGTGTGCTGCCTTATTATCAGGAGTGGCAGAGTTTGGCTACAGTGGGGCCTCTGGCTCTGCCCGTTGCTGTTCATGAAACCGTAAGCGATCGCCGTGTCTTATTTATGGATAGATGAGAAATGTGCATAATAATGATACCGACTGGTAGCGGCGGGGAGGACTGAATGAGCCAAACACACCAAGAGCTTGCCACAGTGACTGGCACTCAGTGAGTACCTGATAAATATTTGCCTTAATTCATAATCTGCCTTGTGTTATCTTTAGGTGTCTGTCCTCCACTCTGGACCGTGAGCGAGGGATATGGTCTTTGTATCCCCAGTGTCTGGGTGTCAGATGCACCACAGTTGCTCATTCAAAGGTGGCTGAATGAATGAATGAACGAGTGAAGCGTTTCACCCGCTTCACACCTCTGTTTGCTCATCTTGGAAGTGGGGATACTAAAGCTTATCTCAGAGGGCAACTGTGACGACCAGGTGAAGTCCGTGTGCAAATCCTTGCGCACACGCCTCCTACCCCCAACAAGGCGCCGTGCTGGGCTTCTGGGAGCCAGGCAGGACAATTGGATAAGAATACATTAGCACTCGGCAATCTCTAAAGCCGTTGAGCATCCATTATCTCATTCTGATCAAGTACACGAAGAGATGATAGGGCACGTTTTGTTGTTCTCTCTCTCTTCTTAAGGAAGAAACTCGGGGAGAAGCAACTGGTCCTCAGTCACTTAGGGGCAGACCCGAATCTTTTGATCCCAAATCCTGTTTCTTTTCACTCCACCCTATCATCCCTATCCCCAAGGAGCCTACAGTCTACGCAAATAATTATTCTAGAAGGTAGAAAGGATAAGGGCCCTAATACATATGGATAAAATCTGTGGAGAGGTGCAGAGCTGTGCGGGTACGTGTTAGAGCGTGATAACATCAGACTAAAGTATTTGGGGGCATTCTGTGTGACTATGACCATGATTTTCATACATTATTTCTTTTAAGTCACAACGGCAGATACTCTTTCGGCTTTCCAAAGACAGTAATTGAAGCTCAGACAAGTCAGCTACTTAGCCATCGAAGGACAGTCACAGCAAGTAAGTGAATGTATTCGGAGGAAGGTGGGTCATGCCCAGCACAGAGGGGGACAGGAGCCTGGAGGAAGGGAAGACAGCAGAAAAGGCACCACAGAGGAGGTGGCTCGGAAGAATGGGTCAGGTTCAAACAGGCAAAGCAGGGCGGAAGAGCGAGCACTTTGACAGCAGCTTGTCCCCACAAGTTTCTTCTTTGAAAAAAAGAGACTCAAATAGCCCTTGAGGATGGGAGCCCCCAAAGTACTTTTTAATGCAAGTGATCTCTCTCTATGGTTTATTTCTTTACATAGACTTGCTTTAAACACTTCCGCAAATAGAGAGGTACGCCATGTTCACTGTAGATCAAATTCATCTGGAGGGATGGACGTACAAGAATTGCCAAGCACACTTCGTGGAATA